CTGCTCCCCCGTCTAGTCGTCCACCACCACTGCTACTAACTGCGTTGTGCGCCTGCTTTCCTTCATCTTTCTCCTTCACCCAACTCGCCTAGATTGCCTCCTACACTTTCCTGTTTCTCACCTCAACCGTTGGTCTTGGCAAGTCGGACTCGTGCTTCAGAAGCTAAAGTAGGCCTCCGCTCAGCGCAACCTCGTCACTTTTCAGATCTGGTCCCCCGAAGCCATGATCTAGAAAGCCTCCACCGACTCGCTTCCTTTCCACTACACGATGCTGTTTCTGCCGTCCAACTTGCACCGCCCACGTCAACATCGCAAGATCATCCCCCGTTAGATCTACCACTCCTCACGTACACTGCGACAACACCAAACACCCGTATTCGATTACCAGTACCTGCTACCGATAACATCATCACTCGAACGAGTTATCAACGCTCTTCTACCGCCCAGGCGACACGACCAAGGAGTCCGTTCGTCTCCACCGAATCCGCAACCACCGCCGAAACTGCAAAACACCCCTAGACGTCAACCAAGATGTCGCGCCAACCCATGAGCATGGAGGCTATGCTGGACGAGGAGAGACGGGATGTTCTGGCTCTGCTTGAGGGCAGCAGCGCCCGACCCAGCTGGAAGGCAACCTCTCCGGTCTCTGCGCGCTCGCCGTCGCCCTATACCTCGCCCCGTTCTCCCGTGAGGAGCATGCTGGATATTGGCGACGATGGAGGCAAGAAAAGCCCGGCCAGGACAACTGTCTTGCCTGTTCGCAGTATGCTGGACATTGACGTCCCTCCTGCGCCAGTCAGAAGCATGCTCGACATCGACACATCTGCGCCGAAACAGGCTGCTAGCGCTGGCCCTAGCTCCCCCGTAGAATCTCGCGCACCTCATCCTAGGACCTTCTCCGACTCTGCAGGCCCGAAACCCAGCTTTGGGCCGCGGGCGCCCGTCAACAGGCTGAATCCTACTATGGACTACCAGTTCTCCGACATTGCTACGAACAACCTCGGACAAGCTATGCCCAAGCGTACCACCCAGACTGTAAAGAAGCCGTCTGCTATGGCCGATGTCATGCGTGGCAACGAAATCCCCGGCATCGTTCTTCCCGGCGACAGAGCCCGTCACAGCTCTATTGCCTCGAATCCCGTTCCCAGGAACGCCAGGAGCTCGAGTAGAGGTCACAACAGCAAGTCCAAGTCTCCCCACGGCCGATTTGGCATGCGATCTCCTTCTCCCAACGTCAGTGGTCGATTCCAGCAGATTCCCGGAACCGCTGTTCTTGACGACGGCAGGGTAGTCGACATCACCACAGCCTACCGTAAGCTGTCCGATGCCAACCTAGCGTTCAAGGGAGGCGACCTGGGAGAGCTGGCGGCGCGCAAGCACTCGAGCGCCATTGAGCGCAACGGAGGACGAATGGTCAAGGACTACCTCAGCCCTGACGGCGAGCCATTGGAGGAGAGCAGCGATGATGAGGGCAGTTATTCGGATGAAGAGCAGAGAGGACGTAAGATGGCACCTCGTGCTGCAGACCACAGTGGCAAGTCTCCCGCAGGCGACAAGGGCGACCGCAAGACATTGAGCCTGTTGGCCGCTGCCGAAGAAGAGCGTAAGTAGTTTTCTCCGTAAATGCCTCTACGATGCTGACTAGTTGTAGGCATCGACGTCAGTTCGCAGCCACAGTACCAGTACAAGTCGTTGTTGGACGACCCGCAAATCACACTCACAACACCTACAGGCGAGAAGACCAAGCCATCAAAACCAGGCGTGCATCCTACTACGGCATTTGACCAAGGTCCAGGCTCAGGACCCGCTTCGGCAGTCAACTCTGATGATGAGGAGGCGCTCACGGATATCAAGAGAGCGCAAAGACTAGCCTTCAGATACCAAGACGTGCGGAACCAGAGCGAGTTTTCTCGGACGCTCCTAACTTTCTACCGTGGAGAATGGGAGACGATCCAAAAGCAGGCTGAGGAGGAGCACCACAGGTTGAGAAAGTACTTGGTGGCCACCGACCTCAGCGACGAGTCGACCCATGCCCTGGAATGGGCAATTGGCACGGTTCTGAGAGATGGCGACACCCTCATCTGCATGTACTGCGTGGATGAGGAGACGGGAATCTACTCCACGGAGGATGTCATGGTACCAGACGACCCCAAGGCACACAGAGAGCAGGCGGCCGCCATCAACGCCGTCTCCAACTCGAGGACGCCGCCTCCGACTTCATCGGCCCCGTCGTTCCCACATCTAGCCCGAGCGTCTGCGTTGAGTAGTGAGAACGGAACGCCGTCGCCTGCGCCATCAAGTCGTGAGCGCGATAGGGCCGAAGAGGAACGGCTAAGGGCAATCAACGACATTACAGAACGGGTCACCAAGCTTCTCCGAAAGACGCGATTGCAGGTGCGGGTTATAGTCGAGGTCCTCCACTGCAAGAACCCGAAGCACCTGATCACTGAGATCATTGATCTGGTAAATCCTACTTTGGTGATTCTTGGCAGCCGTGGCCGCAGCGCATTGAAGGGGTAAGTTGTCCACATACGGGGGAAAACAAAGAGTTACGCTAACGGCTTAAACAGTGTCATTCTGGGATCATTCTCCAACTACTTGGTTACCAAGAGCTCTGTACCCGTTATGGTGGCTCGCAAACGATTGCGGAAGCAGAGCAAGTATAAGAGACCTATGAAGCAAGTTAATATGATCCACACACCGGGAGCTAAGAGCCTAGCCAACGCAAAGGTTGACTAGAAGCCGTCGGAGCCACGGCGCGGGCTTTCAACATTGCTTTCCCGCATGACGACATATCAGGGCCGGAGGTACAGCACGAACACATGATGGGGCACAGAGGGACAGAAGGAGGATTTCCGTCGTCCGGCTATGGCTGGGAGACGCCATAGAGCTCGAGTCGGTTTTGAGGTTAAGCGGAGAGCGTGGGTTAGACTAGACATGAGCCACGCGCGACGTCTCTATTTTTCCTAAGGGGGTCCATAGTTTTGTCAGAAAAAGCGGCATACCAGAAAATTCAGATACCTTTCTACTCTTACAGCTCAATAGCCTTGGAATTAATCGATGGCCATGTTTGCTTAATGACCCTGATCCGTCAGAGTCAGTGGCATTACGGGAATCGGTCTGACCAGTCGGCAGTCCGAAATTGAGTGAGCTTTGTCCACTCAAGAAGCGACTGACGTGCTTGTGCAGACGAATGGCTTGCATAAGGAAAAGTGCGAGCGATTATGCCGACCCTTGAGCAGGTACTCCACTCCGTACAAAGTCAAGAGCGGACAGGACACTGGAGGCATGTCACAGTCATTCATGATCGAGTCACCTCGTGAGGGAGGAAAAATGGAGCATCCGCAGGGGTTCTCACGCGGGAGTGGTTGATTCGGCGACGGGTTCGGTGAGTGGAGCGGCGAGGTGCGGGGTGATAAGATAGCGAGTCTGGCTGATTGGGGCCAACTCAGAGCGGTTCTTGCTGGGCCCACGTCTGGCGCAATCGCAAGCAGGGAGGAGGGGCAGGTAGTGAAAGACCCTGGGTACTGCAAGCAAGGCAAGGTGGGAGAGAGTGAGAGAGGAAGGGCGATGCCTTTTTTCAGAAGCAAGTGTATGTTTTGAAAGTGCAAAAGGGAAGGGCCTCAGGTTTCGTGTCTGGTTGGCGTTGAGGGCGAATCGGATGGACCCGACATGAGATGCGATTCGCGCAAGTGTGTTGTTTGTTTACGTTTTGAACGGGACCCCGCCTTCCCTTCTAGTCTGCCCATCGGTCCCGTGACTAGTTATGCAACCACTTAAACGCCCGAGGGGTAATGCACGCCTGTTTGTGTGGTAAGGTAGACGCGACGCGGGATAGACAGGGAGTTGTGTGAATACAGAGGGAGGAGGGTGGGAAGAGGAAAAAGAGAGAGAGAGAGAGAGAGAGATTAAGAGACATTAGCAGCCTACCCTGGAAATAGACGATTAAGAAAGGCGACCAGATAAAGAAGTTGGGGCGGTTGTTTTCCCCCAGTAGCAACAGGTTCCCCGTCTTCTGTCCGACAATGACATTCATGGTGTCCCCTTTGAGCTGGACCCGGGACGGGAGCTGTGCGTGCCTGTCTGTACCTGGACTTGGGCTGTGTCTACTAGAGGAACCGCTGCTCAGCGCAGGGACGAAACGACGGCGGGGGAGGGAAGGAACGATGAACAATGCGGCAGACAGGGCAGACAGGGCAGGGCACTTGCTCTGACGTCCAGGTCCAGCGTTCCAGGTGCCCCACTCCACCCAATCTAGGGCCTGGGATTCGGCCGCTCCCTTGGCGGGCTCGGCCGCTGATTGGGCAGCAGGCTCAAACCTGGCAAGTGGATCCGGGAGGTCCCCAACCTCTCGAATTCAACTCGCCGCAAGGTGGTACGGGTGGATGAGGAAGTGGATGGGGTGCCGTGGGTGCGCAAACGCAAGATGCAGTGGGTGACTGCCAGTGGGTGGTGAATAAGAAGACGTCCTTGCAGTAATTCTCCCCTCCCCCCCCTCTCTCCTCCAACAAGAAGCATTGGATGCCGCTTCTTGCTGCACTCTTCCCGCTTTTCTATGCTTCCTGCGGCCCTCTCAGGTCACTCACCTCGTCCCTCTCTCCCCGTCTTGGGCGACGTCTACGTCTACCTTGTGTGATATCCGGCCGCTGGGTTCCTTCTACCTTAGATCAACGCATCAATCTACTCTGTTCTGTTACCTCTGCGCATACTTTCTTACTCTTACAAACAACCTTGCGCGCATTCGTTGACACCAACTGGTCTGCCTGATACATACACATACACACTGGACCTTAACCCGAACACCCCGACTGTCACCTTACCCACTCACCACACCGTCCATCTACATCCTGCCCGACCGCCGGCGCATTCGTGTGAGCCAAAGTACCTTTTCACCGACCAAACGCCATCATCTACCTTCACCTGTCGCAATCCCAACTGCGACCGCAACAAGAGAGAGTGAGCCTTTGCGCAACTTCTCTTGACCAGCTGATATGCTTTCCATGCCGTCGCTGGTCACCGTCAACAACAACGTTTCCCTGCTGAGCATCACCATCGCTCCAAGCACATACGTCGCCACCCTAACCTTGTCCTTCGTCTTCATCTACATCTACCTCGTCCAGATCTCCTGGAAGCCAACCCTCCTCCCAAACTTTAGCTACTTCAAGCGCACAAGTCGCGCGACCAAGACCACAATCGCAGACCACCACCGCTTCGAGGAGCTCCCGCCTCCTCGCACTTACAAGGCACTTCCCGCACCACCCGCCGTAGCATCCGGCGCCCTCGTCCGCCGCAGCCCACGCCGCCAACATGATGGCGCATATGCCGACACCGCCCCCGAGCTTCGAACATCTGGATCCTTTAGACGCCTCTTTGGGCGATTTCGAGCCGACGACCCCGCCCCCGAACCAACAGACCAAAATGCCCTTGTTCGGCTACCCGTCGCACCACTCGGGGTTCAGGTCCGACCTGGACGCAGAGAGCGACCTGGGCCCGGACCCAGAAAACTCAGTCTCCGCCGGTGGCTACAGTCCTCCGGCCTGGCGCCGCCTCGGGAACGGAAGCCGCGACAGCGGCTTCTGGAGGCGGAGTGAAGACATTCTCGGAGCCTTCCCCCCGCCCGACAGACGCTTGTTCGGCCACAGGTCCAGGGAGTCCAGCCCGGAGCTTGATACCGAAGACGAGGATGAGGATGTCCTGCGCCGCGCAATGCGCACGAGGCTGCCGACGGGTAGCATGAGCCCCGACAAAGGTCGTTCGCCCAGTCCTGAGCCTAGGATCGACGATAGAACGATCAAGCTGAATGAGCTCCAATGGAAGGAGACAAGTCCGTCAGAAGGTACCTTGAATCAAGAGAATTGTAGGACCCCATCATGTCGTGAGTGAGACGAGTAAAGACAATGCGACTGACACTGCGCAGATATCCGATTCGCATTGCGCGCGGAAGTCCAGCAGCGCACAGAACCCATTGAGGCATTCGTCCAATTCTTCCGCTCCAAATGGCAGTTCTTGACCCACTCGTGGTCATCCACGATCCTCTCAACTATTGTCGCGGTGCTTGCCATTAGCGCCATGCGCAACCTCTTCCAGCCCGCGGCCCAACTGCCTGTGCCAGATCTTGTGAAGGTAGCCGGCATCGCGCGCTCGTTCGAACCACTCATCTACTTTTCAGAAAACGGCGCATCACAGGTCGGCGATCTGCAAGCTACCGGCGTTGCTGTCTGGGATCTCGGTGAGAGCGTGCGGTCGAGCAACATGACGTCTGCGCCCATCATCGTCAAGGAGCTTGACGACCTCAGTGACAGCCTGAAGACCCTAGCTATCGAGCTTACAAAGTTCTTCGCCAACGTCGACGGCGACATTGACGGTATTCTCATCGTCATGGATTGGGCGCGTAGGGAGCTCTCCCACGTCCAGCATCTCCCGTCATCACCCTTCACCGCCGCCTTTGATAACATCCATAACATACTGTCACAAACCGGCGTCCTCGAAGATCCTGGCGGTATCCCGACCCGATTGGGGTCGTTGTCTACTTACATTTTTGGCATGTCCAATCCTCAGCGCACAAAGTTGACGCTCCAGCGCACTTTCAACGAGTTCCTCACCGTCCTCGAGGATGCCATCAACTCTGAGCTGCAGCATTCTCTGGCCCTATTCGCCCTCTTCGAGGCCATTGACCACCAGTTCCTAAACCTCGCAAGGACGGTCGTCCGCGAGGCTTCGGCCCAGGATGACCAGCACGCCGACCTACTATCCTCACTCTGGACGCGCATCTTGGGGCCGAATTCGGCGGAAGTTGCCAAGTACGAGCGCAACAGGCTTCTGTTACAGAATGTCAGGGAGAAGACTGTGCGAAACAAGAGCATCCTAGTCGAGCACAACGGCAAGCTCATGGCTCTCAAGGCCAACCTTGAGAACTTGAGGAGGAAACTCGTCAGCCCGCTCGTCCGGTCCGTCAACTCCAGCACCTTGACTCTGGAAGACCAGATCAGGGGGCTGGAAGACGTTGGCGGCTACCTTGAGGGCGTGAGGACAAGGCAGAAGGGCAAGTTGATGGAGATGTTGTATGGCAGCATAGGAAACAACCGCAGGGCGATTGACGAGCGGAAATATGACCGGACGGCGTAAGGAAAGGTGGACGGTTTCCTTCGCAAGCACTCTCTCCTCATTTGGGTTGTTTATCTGCATCAACAAAGCATCTGGCTTAGACTAGGACAAACGGAAAACCACCTCATCGGCGCCCGGACTGGATAGATTACTACTAGCGATTGTAAGGAGGCTTGCGTCTCTGCATTGGTAACGGAGTTGAAACGGACATTGGAGGGGTACACATGTAAAGGTAGGTTTATCTTGGCTCGCTCTCTCGGAAGGGGATGGAGCTTACAGCTTTGACAGGATGTCAACAGCGGGCGCAAACGGCGGAAGGCTGCCTGCGTTTCTCTCTCTTTCGTGTCCCTAGGGAACGAGGGATAAGCGGGAGGGGGAACTCGGGGCTTGGAACACTTCGAAGGAGTTTTTGGGCTGGAATTGGATGGATAGGGATAGGGATAGGATACCGGTGCTTTGTACATACTTATTTGTGTATGAGTTTAGGCCTGTACGTGGCTTGGCTCAATTGACTATGTTGTAACTCACGTTCGTCAGTCTTCTTGTGAGGTCTGTGAATGGTGTACAAGTATGTTAGCGAGGGATGTAAACTCAGGTTGAGTAAAGAGAATGATAGTCCCATATCGTGACTTGACCAGACAAGAAGCCTCGTGTGAGAGGCAGAGAAAGGCAAGTATTGCATTCTGACTACGTTGTGAATCGAGTTCATCAGCTTCTGGGCGTATTCGCAAGTATCATCGAGCGGAGCTGGAAAATGAAGGAAAACGTCTTAATTTGCACACTGTAGCCACCGTCTGAAATTGTTAGCGTTGTTGCTGTTGCTTGCTTGTACGAACAAATTAGCAGAAAGGCATGATCTAGAGGAGAGAGGAGGTCATGCAAGATGTACGACTTCGATCGGCGGTAAAGGTTCAAGTGGATCATCGCCAGGATAATGTCTTGACTCGCGGTTTCGTTTCGTTTTTCACAAAATAGTACTCTGTACGCCTGGCAGATACGCTTGCCAATCCATTGTTGTTGAGCTCAGGGACTTGAAGCAGTATGAACTAGGCCTTAAATATGAGTCCGTGAGAAAGACGCCCGAAGGTTAACTGATTCGTGGCTACAACGCCTTTTTATATGTCACCAGAGTGCTCACGTCTTGATTTGTAGTGATGGCACACCTCATTGAGATGCTCGGGGGTGTATATAAAAGTGACTTCCTTGGTTCATCGTCTAGTGCAGAAACAAATGGGCAGTCTGCCGTGTTTTTAGTAGCTCAATAGCTTTGAGGCGTACCACTGCTTCTCGGAGACTTACTTTTAGAGCTTTGGAAAGCTCTTATGGCTGCTATGATACCGTGTAGCTGTTGGGCGGTATTGTCTCGTGAGTAATGTTTGAGGGAAAATGGCGGGCCCCAGCCTCCGATGTGTCTTCATTTCTTCTCGAAGTCGAGATGACCGTTGAAATGGTCAATCGAGCCTTATGTCTTCCACGGGGGAGCGCTTTGAAGAGACAACCGACAGGTTCTGGTCTTGTCAGAAAGCCGAACCGCCAGAGACATTGCGTTCTTGTCGAAACCGTTGCCTTTGGCTGTTTTTATATCACTATTTTGGCCAGTTACTCCCAACTTGACTATTCAGTTTCTTCTTATGTGAGGTCACGAACGGCCGTCCCAAAAAGCAAGATGAAAACCAATGGCGGAAGTCTGAACTCCATTGCGCTCTAGTGTACGCGACGGATGCTCTCCTCTGAGCCTGAGCGATTGAGATCCCACAGGTGCTGAAGACGTGCGATCTGGGTGGTATCTTTACGTCGCCACCGGGCTTGGTTGTTTCGAGTGGAAGTCTCACAGGATGACGAGGGAAGAAAGGGGCAGCTGATGAGCACAATCATTTGCTGTCGACTGCGATTTTGCTCGTTCTCACAACGCGTGGTGTTTGGAACGCAACTACTGCCCCGTCAGGTGAAACACTTTTTGATGCCGTCGTCTTCGAGTTTGACAACCACTTGCTAGTATCATCCGCATGTTATTCCACAAACAGCTTTGTGAATATGAGATGGACGGAGTTTGCGGTTGTGAGTTGTGCGCAATGCGAATAGCCCGGAACCCAAGATGATCAAACCGTCACCTTTTCGATTGATGTTGTGGATAGAAACACTTCTTTACTTCCTTTCTCATTCGTTTGCTCCCATCTAAAGGTGGGAATGGCTGCTGGTCTTTTTGTGCGGCTGGCCACGACTCCGGATACTTCGGTTACCATCGTGAACCTTCCAACTTCCTGATTCGGGTGTGGGGATGGGAAACTGGCGAATAGGACGCGCCTTGTCTTGGGCATTGGTTCTACCTGTCAGGCCTCTCTGGCCCAATTCACAGCTGAACATTTGCGGGACTTGATCATCGAGGAGAACAACATTAATTATAAACTATAATTACGCCTACGAACAGATGTCAACTAACTCCGTTACTCCATAATGCTGAAGCCTATCACCGTGGCACCTGGCACATGGCGAGTCTTGACTACCATCAAACGAACCAGGCCATACGTGGCACACATTAGGCGCCCCCAGTCATTTGCTGGCTTCATCACGTTGACCACGTAGTCGACTGTGACTCGCCGCCAACATGCAGCAAGTCACACTTTTTGCCGTTGACAACACAAGCCCATCGGTGACAGTTTTCAACATTGCAAGCCAGGGGGTATAGCAAAGAAGCTGCAGTTAGCAGTCCACATTACCTTGAGCAGCATCAACATCACGCAACTGGCTGTTGATGACATCCACAAGCCGACGCGCAGAGGCGAGACGCTGTCCTTCCTCGGGAAAGAGACAACAGAACGCATTATCAGATTGCTACCTATTCAACAAAATCGCTGCAGAGCCGTACGGCAGTGTTAGGGAACGTGAAAACTAGTTGAATGACCCGAAAACCATCAACCAAAGCGAAAACCATGTACTGAACAGACGGCCTGTCTAGTGCTTTTCTCCGCTCGATGCCGCTTGTATACTCACTCATGTCGTGGTCTATGCGACATCTATGCTTCTTCACCACCCGTCTGCTTAACAGCGACAGGCTCAACTTCGTCTTTCTTCTCTTCAATGGTGGCTTCGACCACTGGCTCACCAGCCATGTTAGCGGCCAGAGTCTTCACCTCCTCTTTTGGTGCCTCGGCCTCGGTCTTCTCCTCAGCCGGAGTCTCTTCCTTAGCCTCAGCCTCTTCTTCCTCGATAGGTTTCTGCAACGGCGTTTCCTCCTTGGCTGTAACTTCCTCGGTCTTGGTGTTTTCAGTCGCAACTGGCTCGGCCTCCTTAGGTTCTGAAGGGGCAACTTCAGCCTCTGGTGTCACGTTCGTGTCCTCCGGCTTGGCGTCATTATCAACCTCGAGCACACCGCTGTCACCGATGCTCCAGCATATCCTCAGAGGGGAGAACGACAGAGTAGGTCCCGAAGATTTGGCCTCCGCAACAGGCGTTGCGGCCTTGGCGGGAGCTCTGCGTTGAGGGCCACGAGCACGACCTTTCCTAGCATCGGAGAGCGGCGCCTTCTCCTTCTCTTCAACCATATCTGCCGCAGGCGGCTCCTCCTTCTTAGGGGCCTGAGGGCCAAGCTGAAGACGCTTGTTGAGATCGGACATGAAGGTAGACTGGAGAGCTGCAATCTTGCCACCGACGGGTCTGGCGGGAACGGCAGGCTTCTGCTTAGGAGCCGCATCTTGCTCCTTGGAGTCGGCGCCGGACGGGAGGGTCTTGGTAGGGCGAGCCGGTATTGTAGGCTTGGGCTTTTCAGAAATCGGCGGGGTTTGTTTCGACTTTGGTCGCTCTGGAATAGCCGGTCGTTCTGAGGTGGCGCTGGACTCTGAACCCTTCTTCTGGGGACGAGATGGTATCTGAGGCTTCTCGGTAGGCGCGTCCTCAGCGGGCTCGGGGGTGTCGACGACTGCCTCGTGCATCAAGCTTTCGGGAGTATCTTCCCAGACGTCACGGCTGGGGAATCGGTTGGCCATGGCTGGGCGAGCGTCTTGCTCCTTGGTTTGCTGCAGAGGCAGAGGAATTGGCTTCTTGTCTCTGGTATCCAGACCTCGAGCCTCCTGTTCGGCAAGCTCTTCCTGTTTCCTTGCAAAAGCGTGTGCGGGAGTTTCGGTGCGAGGTTCAGACCTTCGTCGAGAGGAGGGGCGTTCAGTCTCTGCCGGCTCAGGCGTCGACACTTCGGCGGTGTAGTTCACGCTGTCGGGTGCGTCTTCCCAAACATCCTTGCTGGGGAACTTGTGGCGGGGCTTCCATGAGTTGGCCTCTGCCTCCGCTTTCTTAGCTTCCTCGTCGGGGAACAGCGGCTCATACTCTTCAACGTCTTCCAGGGGAGTGGAAGCCAGCTCCGTCTGTGAGTGGTTGTTGTAAATGCTGGTGGGGCGGCTGGTGGGCCGGCTCGTCGCCTTTTCCATCTCAAAGGCGCTGCCGGAGCGCTCTGGTGGGGGCTCAACCGCTGGCTGCAGATCGTATGGGTGGTAGACGTCCTTCTCCCGTTCGTCGTCTGCCAGGATGGGGGCGTTGTACTTGCTCTCCTGGCCAGGATCCTGGGAAATGAAACTCTTGCGGCGGTTGTGAGATTCGTCAACGTGGACAGTGCTGTCATCAGCGTTGTCCGCAGAGGAAACAGCAATATCGGGGTGGAAGTCCTTGAGAGGGCTCAACGGAGACTTGATACGCTGGAGCTCTGGAGACCTCGAGGCGGGGCGGGGCGAGGACATGCGAGAAGTGTACTCCTCAGACGCATGGTAGCCGACCTCCTCGCTGGGAGTGCCAGCATATTCTGCATGAGTGCCTGCATTTGTTAGTCTGTGCCTATCACACGTTCAACTGGCAGTGCTTACCCATTCCAGACCCACGGCTGTGCGTATCATGAACGATCTTGTTGAGATCTGTGCTGCTCATGGCAAAGTCATTCTGGCGGTCGTGGAGTTTTGTAGAGCAGTCCTTCTTCAGGGTATCAGGGTGCTTGTCGTACCAGGCCTTCTCGAATTTGTCGGTAGGGAGCGCAGAGCTGT